AGGAAGACCTTCCATGAGATGGATCGATTCTGTGACTGGAGTGGTGGGAATAAGTGCATTTGAGGTGGCTAGGTTGGCACAGAATCGAAGAACGTTTAGAGCTCTTGTACAATGGGTCACTATGAGTTGTAAGCGACTCGATGGCACATAACAACAACAACAACAGTAACTTAAAAAGATTTACAAATTAAGAGTTACCAAATATCTGACATCTTGGGATGGATGTGGTATAGACTGAAAATGGGAGACGGGTATGACTCCACAGGAGAAACTTCGAATCCCAAATCCCTTAGTTCTTCTGCCCCTCTTAATCTCCTAAAGGAAGGGAAAGTAAGTATGGGCTGCACCAGTCTCAGAAAGAAAGGGCAAACCAGCAGTAGGAGTAAAAAGAACACCCTAAAAAAGAAGGCTATTAAGTGAAAGAATGTAGTGACATTTCTTGACTCCTTTCAACTACCCACACTAAAGTGAAACGTAACAGTTAACCACCAAATAGTTACAGAGCAGTCCGTCCCAGAATGAAATTAGGAAAATTTAGGGCTTTAAGAAGGTCAGGGGGCAGTAGGAAGCAAGGAGAAGTATATCACAGAGAAGTGGAACAGAGCATGTGACATGGTTAACTGTAGGTAAGACTACATGGGAAGAGAATTGTAAGCTTTGATAAATCTAGTCAAATTAAAAACATGGTAAATATTAACTCCAGGGAGGAAAAAAGTTATACGCAAGAAGAAAAACCACCACAGTGTACAGGTTATGAATTATTCAAACTGATGAACCAAGTAACAGCACTATAAGCATTTACTTAAAAATTGGGAGAATATAACCAAAAACAGCCATATAAGCTAAGTATTCTGTTTTGGGGAATGGGATGCAAAATCAGGAAGAATAAAGTTGGGAGATTTTTTTCACTAGAAGCATGTGAAGCTGTTGGATTCTGGTGGGTGGGTTCTCATCTTAGTTGAAAGTCAGTTGTTAACTGTTCAGAGCATTTTTATTTCATTTACAATTGTGTGTGAGCTGATTAGATTTACTGGACTTAGCAAACAAGCAGCTGTGGGCTAGAAGCTTCTAAGTCAATCAGGACCTGGTGCTAATTGTGTTTGGGAAGAATATTCTCCTAAGTGGTACAGCACTGGCCTGTCAGTTTTCTGTACTGAGGTAACTTGGGGTTGCTGTGATGCTGAACACTGTGCCACTGGTGTGTCAAATGCCATTATCATTACACATGGTAGACAGTTTGGTGGAGCTCTCAGCTTAAGACAGGCTTGATTGACATGCACGTCCTAAACAACATGCATTTGGAAACTATGCATATTAGAGAAACGATGAGAGTTACAGAACAAGGTTCAGATCTTTAGTTCACGGGATCGCCAAGTCATACTTGACTCGATGACACTTAACAGTAACAGAAGCCGTTTACATTGTTTTGATTTTTGTTTTTATGTATTTATCACTTTGTACTGCAAAGGTCAAGGAAAAACATTGACTTTTTAAAAATTATGACAATAGAGTGTTAACAGAGATGAAAAGGGAGGGAGAGGGAAATAAAAATATTTTTTAAAAACCAAACTAAAAAAAAATGGGGAAAAAACCCAAAGATTGTAAATTCAAGAAGGACCTGCAGGTTGCTTACTTACCTAGAAGGACTAACTTCTGCAGAGTCTCGGAATGATCCACATAGTCTCGAAGTGTGAATGAAACTGGGGGCAGCGGAGGGTCTGCAATAATCTGCACAGCCTCTTGGTCAGTAATTGGCTGCAATGGCGACAACGGAGGCAAATCTTCTAGTCCTTTGAAGCCAGTCATGTGGACGGAGAGAAGCAAGTTAGCTTTCCACTCTGCACACTTGACACAATTTCTACAAAGACAATTTCTTCTCTTTTTTCACTGATTAAAGTCTTACAGTCACTTCAGGTTTAAATGCCTAAGAAGAATTTTCTATCTTCAAAGAGGTAAGGTAAAAATTGCTGAAAGTTCAAGTTAAGAAAAGTGTTAATAAGTTTCAAGGTACACAGCCCCTTTCTTTTCCTTTGAGAGTTTGACTGTTATGTTAATCACCTCCACAATGTTGTGCAACCATTACCACTATTACCAAAACGTATTCATCAACCCAAAAAAGTCACCCAGAACACCTTTATCAAACAACAAATGCTGGCGAGGTTGTGGAGAGACTGGAAACCTTATTCAAGGTTGGTGGGAGTGTAAAATGGTGCAACCACTGTGGAAGGCGGTATGGTGCTTTTCCAAAAAGTTGCAAATAGAGATACCATTTGACCCAGAAATTTCACTACTGCTAATATACCCCAAAGAGACCATAACTGCCACCCAAAAGCAGATACACGCACACCCATATTTATGCCTGCTTTGTTAGCAAGGAGTTGGAAACAACCTAAGTGCCCATCAATAAATGAATGGATAGGGAAGCTGTGGTATAGTCACACAATGGAATACTATGCTGCATTGAAAAACAAGGAACTCATGTATTATTCAAAATGGGTGACCCTGGAGGACATTATGCTGAGTGAAATATCTCAGTAACAAAAGGACAAATCTTGCATGGTGCCACTGTTGTAGAACGGGACTGACATCAGGGTTGGGGTGAGACTGAGAAAGATTGGATGAATTATGTATACTGCATTGAAACAGATGAGGGAGAGAACAGTTTAAAAGCGATATATGATAGGGTATTATGGTTATCACAAGAGTCCAGAATGAAGGTTGTGTAGTGGAGTATACTCAGGGTGGTAGGAGGGGGGCGAGGGGATTGTATATCAAAGAAGGAATCTTTCTTTTGCTTTTCAAAGAGAGGAGCAAACTGGGCAGCTGGGAAGGGAGAAAAGTGCAACAATGAGTGAATGGAAATCCAAAATCTCTGTAAATGTTCATTAAAATTAATAAAATAAAAAAAGAACACCTTTAATAATCTCCTACTCCCTGTTCCTCTTGATAAACACTAATAAATTTTCTGTGTATTTGCCTACAGTACGTATTCCAAGAAAGTGGGATTATATAACTTTTGCATTTTTGTGTTTGACTTATTCCTCTTACTCAACTGCTGATAGACACTTGGTCTGCTTCCACCTTTAGATAGATCATTGTGTATAACATTGCCTTTGATCTTCCTGAGTAAGTTTCAACTCTTCTTCCTTTTCTTGTGTCATCTGTTATTGCAAGTTGTTAATGAGTCTTTCTTCAATTCTGATGCCATGTTCTTCATACAGTTCAGGAATTCACATTATTTGCTCAGCATACAGACTGAATAGGTATGGTGAAGATTCAACTCTGGCTATTTTGCCAATTTTAAACCATGTATTATTCCTTTGTTCTGTTGAAACAATTGTGTTTTGGTCCATTTACAGGTTATACGAGAGCACAAGTAAGTGTTCTAGAATTCTTTCCAATGTTCTCTTTATTATAATACACATAATACAGTCAAATGCCTTTGTATAGTCAATAAAAGACAGGTAAACATCTTTCTTGCATTCTCTGCTTTTACTGAAGATCTACCTGACCATTAGCAGTAACATTCCTCCTTCCATGCCCTCTTCTGAATCCTGAAGCTTGAATTTCTGGCAGTTTTCTGTCAATGTACTGCTCCAGCTGCCTTCAGAAAGATTTCACTTGTCTGTGATATCAATACTATTGTTCTGTCATTTCGCATCCTGTTGGATCATCGTTCTCTGGAATGGGCAAAAACATGGATCTCTTTCCAGTCAGTTGGCCAAGTTCTGTTTAACAGTGTTTCTTATCTCCTGCGTTTCCTAATAATCTTTACCTTAAAATCAAACCAAGTGCAATGAAGTTGATCCCCACGGAAGAGTAGGACTGTGCTCCACAGGGTTTTTAATGGCTGATTTTTTTAGAAGTAGATCACCAGAACTGCCAAGATAACTTTCAGTATGAAAACACTAAGAACCTGGTGTTCTTTATTGAATGAAAACATAGTTCTGGTGGTGTAGCACTCTGATAGAGTTGTGCTGCTAATCGAGAAGGTGGTTTGAATCCACCAATAAACAGTTTCTTGGAGAAAGATAAGCAATCTCCTTAAAGGCAGTTCATTTGAGTTTTTGTTCTATTTTGTTTTTAAACAATGTTAATATGGCAGGATTGCAAGCGGAACTGTAAAGAAATGACCAGGCTTCTCCGATAAAGGGTGAGGGAACTCTCATGGTCTGGTGTGGTTCACCCAAAGGCAGAGCCTCTCCGGTGGCTTGAATCCCGTGACAGCTCCTTATGAAAATGCTGGGCAATCTCCTCCAGTGTGATTTATGGCCCTGAAAACCCAATGGTGGGTCAGCTAGCTTCCACAGCAGTGAGTCTGAGTTTTTTACATGCATATATTTATAGTGTGTTTGAGTTCTTACATGTATATATAAATAGATACTTGATTAGCTTCGCTTCTCTGGAGAACCTGGCTCCCTTTGTTCAATTTTTAACTTATCAGCAGATACAACCAATAGGAAGAAAAGACAGTCCACACACAGAACTACCAATTCACTTTCTGTAACACACCGACAGGCAGAAACCCCCTAATAAGTATGGAACGTGAAAATGTCTCAAAAATGTTACAAGCATACTTAAGAACCCTCTGCTAGGTTTTTCTAGGATCCTAAAAGGGAAAACATTCCCATTCTTTTCACTCTCACCAGAAACCCTATGTATTTTGAAGAGAGTTGGGACTGGGACATACAGAATCTGCACTTTATGTTCTTTAAGGGCAAGTTAACTGTCAGGGCCTGGCTAACCTGCAAGGCAGGAGCAGCAATGCATTGTAAAAACAGCAGGACCACCTATCTTGGCTTAACCATCTGTTCTGCAGAAAACAACTCCAGGAAGCAGTATGCTAATGAATAAGGAGTGACCAAAGGCCTCAGAATTCTAGGCATGTGATACCTTCTTGTTTTCCAACAGATATCATAGGATATCCTGGAAGATGTCTTTGTTTTGTTTTCTTTAAATTTTATTATTATTTTTGTGTGCGTGTACCGTCAAATCAGATCTGACTGGTACAGGAGGAGATTGCCCCTCCTTCCCCGGCAGAGCATCTGGTGGATTCGAACCATGCACCTCTGGGACTGTAGTTGCAGCTTCTTGCCACTAGGCCACCAGAGCCCCCCCCACCCCACCCCATGTCTTTGTTTTGTGTTGAGGTCTGGGAACGTTTGATCTACCAGTCAACATCTCAGACAGATAAGAGATAATGCAACTACCCCTGCAGGCATGTTCCTAAGACGTATATATTTGTTGTTGTTGTTGTTATGTGCCATCCAGTCCCTTGTGACTCACAGCGACCCTATGTACAAGAGCCCTAAATGCTTTTCTATCCTGTGCCAACCTAGCCATCTCAAAAGCACTTATTCCCACTACTCCAGTCACAGAATCGCTCCATCTCACCAAAGGTCTTCCTCTCCTTCACTTCCCCTCCCCTCTGCCAAACATGATGTCCCTTTCCAAGGACCAGTCCCTCTTTGCAACATGCCCAAAATATGTCAGACGAAGCCTCAGAATCCTTGACTCCAGGGAACACTCTGGCTTCACCCTCTCCAGGACAAACCTGTTTGTTCTCCTAGCAGTCCATGGTATATTCAACACTCTTCTCCAGCACCACAGCTCAAAGGCATCAATCCTCTTTCTATCAGCCCTACTCACTGTCCAACTCTCTGATGCACAGCACATAATTGCGAAGACTATAGCCCGGATCAGGCGCACCTTAGTCTCCAGACTGACATCGTTGCTCTTCAGTACTCTTGAGAGGTCCCTCACAGCTGACTTTCCCAATGCAATTTGTCTCCTGATCTCCTGGCTGCTGTTACCAAGAGTGTTGACTGTGGAGCCAAGTAAATTAAAACTGTCTCCTCACCATCCATGCTGATGCTGCCAATTGGCCCAGTGGTTAGAATCTTTGTTTTCTTGACAGTTAGCTTCAGTCGTATAGGAGGCTATAGTCCTTGATCTTCTGCAGCAAGCGCTTCAGGTCCTCCTCAGTTTCAGCAAGCAGGGTTGTGTCATCTGCATAACGCAGGTTGTTGATGATTCTTCCACCAATCCTGATGCCACATTCCTCTTCGTATAGCTTTGTATAGATGGGTATTGAATGGTGTAGGCAAAAGGAAGAAGAGATGGTGGTGGAGCAAGAAAGCATCAGTGGGCTGTAACATTGAAGACGTTATTAAATATTAAAATTAAACTTGCTATTTGTCATCAGCAATTAGCCTCTCCGCATCTTCATTTCAACCTGGTGCCTCCTTTTGGCGGAATTCTCCCCACATATTGGGGCTGGATCCCTGATAACTGGCACCCGGGCCGGACTGCTGAACACGGAGGGAAAACACTAAGGGATCCATGAAAGTCGTAAGGTAGGAACGTAGTTCGGTGAAGGTAAAGATCGGAGAAGAAGGGAGGAGATGAGGATTAATCAGATAAAAATATTGTATGTGCACACTTTTCAGAGTATGTTAAAAACCCGCGGTGTAAAATTAAATCCCCAACAACTTTATACTTTCAGCTTGTGGAGATTTGTTAGAGATACTTTAGACCCTAGGAATTAGAGTTAGATAAGTTGAAAGAAGAAGCTGAATGTAATCATGCATGAGAAGCTGAATCGGGGATGGAGAAAAAAGGATGAGATTCCCCTGATATATATCTCTCCCTGGAGATAGGCATGGGAGGTGAGGAGTTATAGAACTAGCGAAGGGAACTGCTCAAAATTGGCCTGCACCCCAAACAAAGTGTTTTTTAGTTCGAAAGCTGAGGATGTGTTAGGGAAAGTCTTAGAACCATTGGATAAGCT